GGCATTATTGGACACAAGTTCCTATAGACTTTTTTTCTTAAAATTGTCTCAGGAATAGGTCACTTGGATATTTTAAAGTACTTATGTTACACCCTGTATAAGCCTGCAATGAATATTTCTCAAAAATTCTGAAGAAATACAGTTCCTGATTTTGAACAGAATCCCAATGAGTAATAATAGTAATTATTTCAATCATATTATGCGCAAGTTCCGGTGAAAATACCAACCCCTGCCTCTTCTGTGAAACCTGTGACTTTGCAGGTACGTGTGGCAGATACCCGATGGAAAAACAACAACTAACCCAACTAATGCCGCGCATAGAGCTGAAGTAAAACCACAAGGCAACTGCTTCCATTTGGAAGATTCGTGACAAGTTACTTACTATATATGAAAAGCTGAAATTAATTTCATTCAGTCAGGACGACAACCAATATACCGGTTTCGAAGTACTTGCTCCTCGTCAGTACCGGGAAGGTCACTTCAGATGGAATGAATCGTCTGAGTATCCCGAACAAACGAAATTCATTCCAACTAGTCATGACCTCTATCTGCAGTCCACTGCGCCACCTGCAGACAAACTCCAGAAGCTACTCCAAAAACACACACTCCGGGGTGGGAGTCAAAATATAATAATAAACATATTCTGGAGGAGTGCATATGGTATACCCAAGTCCTGGGAAAAAAACCCAAACCCTCGCCTCTCCTGCGAGACCTACAATTTTGTAAGTACGTTTGGTACGTTTCCTTTGGAGGATTCCTCCTGAAAAAGACCTAATGAAGAGCTAATGACAGAAAATAGAGTTCCAATTTTTTTCTCTTCTACTGCAATACGAGCTCCAAAATAATTGTTTATATTTACTTTCAATTACCACATTCACGAAATAGTATCATCAGCATGCTGTTCCAGTTTAATTATTGTTGAATGATTCCCCATCGAATTCTGATAATTATCAGTTTCGTCGAACTGAAGTTATCATCCTCTGAAGGTTTCTATTTGTCACTCACTTGACCTATTCTTATGAATAATTAACCAAGAAACCATGTTAGCTATCAATGTCTTCGTATGTATCAGGTATGCAGTTCGAAGAGTACTAACTGATTTATGCGAACTGAATGACTAGACGAAGGTTTGTGATGTAACGATGAATAGAGTAATCTGAATACTACTCCATTTTGAGCAAATGATCTACTTTGAAATGAGTATGTCAAACCAGTTGAGATGTTTATTCGAAATAAATGCATGAAAAAATACAAATTTGAAGGAGCATAAATGCTCTCTTCTCCTAATAATTTCTTCAGCTTTCTGAAAAAGTTATTTATGGAACAAGACATTTTTTTACGAGTATAGAAAATTCTAGGAAGAGCCACAACGAGTCCTGGAACTCTAAGAGCCAAAAAAATGTTTCTAGACGTGTTGTGTACACTATTCATTTGACAACCTTGTGGAATAACATTTCTTTATTTCATTGCTTTGTAGAATGAAATTTCGAACATTTTAATTCTCATTTATATTGAACTAGTTGTTTCCCGCGGCTTCACCCGCGTAGAATTTGGTAGTTGTAGTACTAATTAGTACTATGTTACTGTATCGCTGCTGTTCCAATGTTTTGACAGAATCAGAATCAACGAACTTAAGCGTGCGCAGCGTTATAAAACAGTGCTTTCAAAAAATTGTTCTACAGCGCCATCTAGTGGCAAGTTACAGAAAAATTGATAGCCTAAAAACCTTCTCTATAAAAAATTACTTATACATGTCAAGTTTCATCACGATCGATTGAGCTCAGAATTTTCTCTGTTTTGTTTTGTTGAAATCAAGTCAGAGGTCACTTGAAGTTGGTTAAGAATGGATGAAATCTCGACTTTTCAAGGAACTAGGTATGAAGATGGTTTTCAAAAAAAGTCATACATTACAGAGCCTTTTAGGAAACTCAAAAGACAAAGTCGAGAATTCGAAAAAGTCTGGAATTTATGAAATTAAGGACTGCGATGCAAAATATTATGGACAGACAAAAAGATCTATCGAAATAAGATATAAGGAACACTTAGCACACCTAAAATATGAAAGACTAGAAGAATATTTATTTTTGTTTATAGAATATATATTTTGCAACAAAACAAATCCATTGACTTTAGTTCATTAAGATTAGTTAGGCAAGTTAACAACAACAGGCATTTTGATGCCTATGAGAGTGTAGAAATAAATAAACAGAAGTAATAATATTATGAATAACGATGGTGGATCAATACCTAATAGTATACTATATAGCTTGTTGAAATAATATTTCAATTATTAGCGTTATCTGACTGTTACATAAGGACACATTATAAAATTAATTTAACGTTACGTTTTATTTTTGATTATCGTGTAATTTTTATTGTGAGGTGAGTTTTTCTTTTTATATGTAATAAATGTAAATCAATGACAATATTTATTTTAGCCATGTGGTCTTACGAAAGAGAACAGACTCGACTGCAGGAAATGCTAGAACTTGTCAACGACGAAGAGGGACAATGAATAGCGTACGACGAACATTCAGATATAGATCAGTCCGATGTCGCGGAGGTGGATCATGTTGAAGAACAACACGACAATAGTGACTCTGAACAAGATATTTCTGACGATGAAGAAATGGTAGAAGAAAGTCACAGCAATACGTTGTCATTTTTCGGAAAGGATAAAATCACACGTTGGAGAAAATTGGCTTCACAACCTATTACAACTAAAACGAGGCAAATGAATATCATCAAACGTTTGCCGGGTTCCTCATTAGCAACGAGAAACCGCTTAGAACCACTGGAAATCACATTAAAATTCGTGCATTTTTTGGAGTTATCTACTTGGCTGGTATTTATCATGCAAACCGTTTAAATACCGAAGAATTATGGAGGGGTGATGGATCTAGTGTAGAGATTTTTCGCCTCACGATGAGTTTACAAAGATTTAGATTCCTAATTCGTTGTCTAACATTTGACAGCAGAGAGACTCGAGTGGTACGAAAGGAAATAGATAAATTGGTTCCCATACGCAATGTTCTTGACCGTTTTGTTGCTAGTGGTCAGAACGGCTTCCACCACTCAGAATATGTAACCGTGGATGAGATGCTTGCAGGATTTCGAGGAAAGTGCAGTTTTCGCCAATACATCCCTTCGAAGCCGAATAAATACGGGTTGAAAATCCTAGCATTGTGTGATGCCAAAATGTTGTACACGAGCAATATAAAAATTTACGTCGAAACACAACCAGAAGGTCCGTACAGATGTAGTTTTACGACTCTGTCAACACATTTTTGGTTCTAATCGCAATGTTACGATGGACAATTGGTTCACCTCTGTACCTCTTGTGAAAAAGCTACTTGACCACAAACTCACAGTTATTGGAATTATCCGGAAAAACAAGAGAGATTTACCAATAGAGTTTTCTAAACCAGCTGCTCGACCGGAACATACAAGCATGTTTAGGTTTTCGAAAGAATGCACTCTTGTATCATATATTCCCAAAAAAAAGAAAAATGTGCTGTTGCTTTCTAGTATGCATGACAGAGATGAAATAGATACAGAAACAGATGCGAACAAACCAGTCATGATCGTAGACTACAATAAAACTAAAGGTGTAGATACAGTGGATAAACTAACTGCAAACTACAACTGTTTCAGAAACTCGCGCAGATGGCCCATGGTACTTTTCTACAATTTCCTGAATATAGCTGGCATCAATTCACAAGTGATCTATGCTTCAAATAATCCTGATAAAAAAATTTTGATAAGGTGTTTTCTGAAACAATTGGCCAATGATATAGCCAAGCCTCATTTGCAAGTGCGTGCTACTATGAGCAATATTCCTCGAAGCCTGAGGTTGAGACTACAAGAACTTTCTGGGTCGAATATCGAACCTGATGTTCCACAGAATGCCTCAGTAGGGCGATGTGTCTACTGTACTTCGAAAAAAAATCACAAAACTCGATTTCAATGTCATAATTGTAATAAATACATGTGTTTAGAGCATATTATTGGCGTTTGTCAGGAGTGCCGTGAAAATGCTCTTTTAGAAGTTTGATCATATTTGTTTACCATTTTTTTTATTCAAATAGATTTATGTTTTAGTTTTTTGCCCTATTTGTATTACTTCCAGAATTAGTTTTTTGTATACCAATGAATAGATTGCAGTATTGAAGAAAAAAACACCTTTTTTAAAATCCTGTGATATATTTGGAGAAATTATCAAAATATACTTCTTTTTTATTGTTAATTTATTATGATGTTAAAACTTCCCTCCCTATATCTATTTCCCAAAAAAACTATCCGGAATTTGGTTGGGGGGTTAATTACCTTGTGCGGTCTGTGAGACCTACGCGACTACTCATGTTCGAAAATTTGGCGCGACTATCGGGAGGTTGAGACTATATTGACTATATATTTAAAACTTTTTGAATCATTATATCTCAAAAACGGTGGCTTGTCGAAAAAAAGTATTGATGTATTTTATCATCTAACATTTTTGTCTGGAGTATGTTTATGATAAAACTTACCGTTTTGCTGAAAATCGCGAAAAACTAATTTTTTTACATTTGACCCCGAATAAATTTTTTTACAGACAGGGGAAAGATAGGGAACTTTCAAATTTTATTTTTGATCACATTTCAAACAATCTCATTGATTTTCAGCTTGGTGAGAATTTGGGTAGCTTTACTCTTATTTTTTGTCTAATTTGACCGGACTATCAAAATATTTGGGTCTTTGTTCCTTCTGCTACAGATTTTTCTGAAAGTTTTCCCTATATCTGAAAAGTTATCTCTAGATATTGACACTCCGAATTATGAGTTTTTTTAAAGCAAACTGAGAATTAATGAACATCGATGTCTTGAAATTATCAAGTATCAAAATTTCCTTGGTAATCCAACGATAGTCAAAGCAGATCCCCCTTCCCCTTCCCCACGTCAGAGACGTTCTCCTGCTGTAAATTGCAAATGTCGCAATTGAGTTTTTTTCTGTTTGTTTTCCAGGGACCTGAAGATGGAGAACGTGATGTTGAACCCGTCTCGGCAGCAGATAAAAATCGTCGATTTCGGGCTGAGCAACGTGTGGAGTGCCTCTAGTCCGCTCCGGACCCACTGCGGCTCCCCCGAGTACGCGGCTCCAGAGCTCTTCGTTACCGGAAAGCAGTACGGCGCTGAAGTGGACCTCTGGAGCCTGTCAGTGAATCAATCGAATCGGTGATCTCGCGAAGTGAGGTCGGGGATTACAGGGGCGGCGCTCTAAAGGAGATTCTTCAATCAAAAATCTCTACATCAAAAAAATCGAGCTCGATCCAACGGCATTTTCTAGCTGAAATGATGTATAATTCGGAAAAACTATGGAATACTTAAGTATTTGATTTTTCGACCTTGAATTCCGAGCTAAACCATCCGTTATTAAATTTCTCCCATAAATTGCGAAAATTTGTTGAGATGCGATTTTTTTTAAATGCTATATTTTCAAAAGTAAAAGAAATGGCAGAACAAGATTGGTGGCACGTCGAAAAAATTCAAGAAACAGTAGAGCTATGCATTTTCAAAAATTCGGTTAATAATAATAATAATAATAGTTTATTAACCATTTGTTAGTACGCTAGGTATATATGGTAGGTCCTCATAGTATAATCAATAAATATCAAATTATTTTTCATCTCGAAAACCGATAGAGAAAAGTAATATAATGAAAAAACGTTGAAGTGGCAACGTCGCAATGCTGAAAATATTTTAGATCGATAGAACAGGTAAGGAAATTTAAGATGTAAGATTCTCAGATAAATCCTGAGATGCATTTATCATAAACGTATAAGCTACCACCGAATTATTTGCAATCGTTAAAATTTCAGTTTTGAAATTCATCATTTCTCAAGTAATACAGATATAAATGATATACTTATGATATAGTAGGAACATGTTGATCTAAGTTTGAGTAGTAGCTGCGTTCTGAATTTTGTTATTGTTGATTATCGAAGAAAAAAAAATCTTATTTTAAATCCTGTAATTTGGCGGAAGAGCATCGATTAAAAATTTTACAATTTGGCGAAGGAGACAGGAATAATATGTTACCTTTTGAATTCAGTATTAGGTAAATTTTATAAATCATAACGTTATTCATTGCGTTTTTCGAATTTAATTGAATATATAAGCGATAATATATTTTAACAGCTTTCATTGACAATTGTTTTGAGTACAATGGGAAACTTTATACTCTGTGAATTCAGTGTTTTCTAATTATGGGAGGAGAAAATACCCAAAAAAGTTCGATGAAAAACTTCGATTTCATTCACAAAAATGATTTTCGTTCTATATTTTACCTTTTATCAAATACCAGCTATAAATTCATCTCCAGTGAACTTTTGTTTCGAAATTGGAATGTTACACATCCAACGAACAATTATAATAATAATAATACACAACTTTTGCCCAATTGACATCCACTTCATATTATTCAAAAAATAACTATACCAGTTTTTCTCGAAGAAGCGATTTGTTATAGTTTCGACGGCATATTCCAAAAAAAACCTGGAAGTGATCATAACTCGCATAAATCCTCTTTGCTTCGGCGCCTCTGTAAATCTCTCCTCGAGCCGAAACAACGTGCCTTGTTTTGCAAAACGCGTCAGATCATATAGTTGAAAGGGTCTCTTCTTATCGCTCAGCGAAAACATAAAGTATTCTCTGCACACAAGGAATCAATCGGAAGTTGATCTCATTCCGAAACAGTAACCACTTTGCTCCGCTTAATGATGCTCTGATTTTTCATTCGAGAAACGATTCACGAAATCAAGGAGTGACAAGAGACCTTCTGAAACTGCATGATGCTGAACGTGTTTTAACTTGTACTGAAAGGAAACCTATGATAGAATGAAATTTGTATCTTTAAAACAAGGTTGAAATGTACCTTGTTTGAAAAGTTTTTTTCAATTTAAAATATATTCATATTCCTTTCCATTTTCACAATGCTTACTCGAAATGGAAACATTTTAAATACTGAGAAGTTTATTGCAAAACTTTTGTTGAAATGACAGTCGAGTCCTATTTCATTAGTGCGGACTTCCATTGTCTAGTATGATATAAATTGATTTGAAATGCCTGAAAGAATCTGTAAAAAATTAAAAATTGAAAGGTTAGCTGAAAACATAACAATTATATTAAGCAAAAAAACTGAAATTACAATGAAATGAAATAAAAGTAACAACCAAAAAATCAACCAGTTCCAACATCTAACATCAGTAATGAAGAACGAAGAGCCCTGAACGGGCTACGTAGAGACAACACCATCAAGATCTTACCTGCAGATAAGGTAAACGCTACTGTTGTGATGGATATGGATTTCTATGAACAGAAGATCGAAGAGGTGCTTCAGAAAGAAAAATACACGGAGATCGTAAGAGACACTTCTGCATCAATTGGAAGGAAGTTGTAACAGACGTTGAAAAACCATCAAGTTTTTTTTTTTTTGAAAAATAGAGGTCATCGCTAACACCACATCACACCACAGTAAGCCCCTTCACTTGTATGGACTACCCAAAATCCACAAGAAGGATGTTCCGCTCAGACCGATAATTAGCTCCAGAGATTCAGCCACTCAGAATTCGTCCAGATGTTCACTACCAATAATTAAACCACTGCAAAGAAAAACATCAACTTTTGTTAAAAATTCAAGACATTTGTTGAACTACTAGGGGCAATCGAACTCAAAGAGCAGGATCAACTGATCAGTTTCGACGAGAAAGGCCTCTACACCAACGTCCCTGTCGAAGAAGCACTTCAAATCATACAGAGGAAGCTACCCGAAGATGAGGACCTTAAAGATAGAACAAACTAACCGATACAAGTAATCATGGAATTACTAAGATGTTGTGTACGAAACTGTTACTTTCAACTGAAAGACGTATTCTTTACGCAAGAAACCGGTTATAGCTATGAGTTGTGAATATTTTCGCTATTGAATAACATTACAAATCATTCTTACAGTAAAAATGAGCGAAAAACAATAAATTGAACACATGAATTGACGAGAAAGTTGTACATGTATAGGATTTTTTGTGGGTTTGACAAATGCCATACCTTCACATAAATGTAATTTTTCAATGGGTATGATGATTTCATAATTTTTGAAAAGAGTTATTGATTGATACAATTTTCATTATTATTATGTTTTTGATGTAGTTCCAGTAAGTTACTGTATATACTGCTGAGATTATCAATGTCAGTTTTCTTGTTCATACAATTAGAAGACTTATTAATTTCAACCATTTCAAGAAGAAGGCGTTTGGAAATATTTTTTTCTGTTGTCCAACAACGCATTTAGTCAAACTAGCGTAGAGATACGCAACATATGGAAACCTCTAATCAAGCGGAACACGACCAACTCCCGCCAAACGGTCAGCTTCCGCTAAAACGAATGAAGTGTAGAGAGGGAAGAGGGGATAGGTGAAAGCACTCAAGTGACCTATAAATAGTCATATCTCTGAGGAATAAGTCCAGTTATCATCCGTAGCCGATTGTGGATACTAGCAATCGAAACGTCGGGAATTAACTTGGTTTGGAATCTTTTGATTTTTAATTTTCATTTTTTGTTAATAATTTTTTTAATTTTCTTTTCGTGTTAATATTTCGTTTCTTTGATTTTTTTTATTTTTACTTGTATTTTATTTCATTGTAATTTCAGTTTGTTTGCTCAAAATAATTGTTATTCTTTCAACTAACTTTTCCACTTTTTAATTTTTTACAGATTCTTTCAGAGACTTCAAATCAATTTATATCATATTAGAAAATGAAAGTCCTAACTAATGAAATGCACCATGAAATATTGTCAACCACCTTCAAACAGTCGAGTCCTAATTTCTAAAATCAATTTTTTCCCAAAATATCATACCCTCTTAGTCCCCAACAGATTGACTTCATATAAAATTGATGGCAAAAAAATCGAATTTTGCTATGCTTGAAGAAATACTTGAATGAAAATAACTTAATTTGACCACTCATCAATAAATGTTACATTTTTCAATTCTTGACAATCTCAGCCTATTATATAAACTCATTTCCGCCGTTACTGTATTTTTGAAGTTTTGAAGATTTTATGCAAAAAATAGATTTTCCAAAATAAAATTCGACCTGTGCTAGGATTTTCAAAAATATATCCATGGAAATACGAATGTTATTCCATCAAGGGTTTCCACACTAAATAACATCTCAAAATTATCATTTTTGCCGTTCTTCTACAGGGGCATCATTCTTTATGGTATGGTCCTGGGGCAGTTGCCTTTTGTCACAAGTCGTTCGGGTCAAGTGACGTCACAAGAACGTCGAAAAAAACTCGTGGCTCAAATCAACAGAGGACTGGCCAGTGTCCACAGAAGAGCTCTATCTACTTTCTCTTCTGAATTTCGAAGCCTCATGAACAGGCTTTTGGTGGCTGACGCTGCAAAGAGGATAACCGTCAAGGAGCTGGTGGTTCATCCCTGGATAACGGAAAAGGGAAAGAAAATGATCAGGTCGAACCCTTTGAAAACTTTGGAGCCAGTAAGAAGGAATAAGGTGATTTTTTTTAAATTTTGTTTAGGTTTCCAAACTTCTTCAACTGTCGCTATTGATTCTATGAGAGCCCAAAAATATTTTCTGAAAATTTCACTACATATCACCACAGAATTACTGTTCGAGAGAACACTAAATATTGAAGAACACTGAACTTTTGTTTTCATATCCCACCAAAATAGACAATTCAAATAACAAAACTTCCGACACAACTAAATTTTGGTACATACCTTGGGATATTTTTTTTTGTTTTCCGGTAGCTTTCTAGATTTTTCTGGAAAACGATGAATTTCATCAAAAGTATACCTCAGGCAAAACTTGAAGATCATAAAAATATCTACAAATATGATTCTGATACTTCGTCTCTTAAGAAACATCATTCCTAAAATATCGCCATTCTAAAAGTGGAAGAAGTAATTTATTTTTGTCTGGAAAGAACCATTTCGATTTCCGAAATATTTTTTTCATTCATTTTCTTCTCAGAGCGAAGCCATTTAAGTGTAGTTACCCTTTCCTTCCTTCTTCCTGATTAGTACTATCAAAATCAGTACCAAAAAGATCGATGAAGCAGATGATAAGTTGATCTTTGGAATGATCTTCAGATCGATCTATTTTTGTTTTTTGAAGGATGAAACACAAGCATTACAGAAAAATACTTAAGGCGCTTTAAGTAACAACTGATTTTTACAGTAGTTTTTTCAACTAGCCAAATATTTCTCAGCCCTCATTGTTGTTTAAAATTCAAATAGGCTTTTCCAAAAAAGTTGAGTTGAAATTTCATCAATTTTCATTCCCGATCAATTTTTTTAACATCCCTCCATTTTTAGATCATCATGGAGATTGGCACTTTGCTCCAGCTAGATTCTAACGCTGTCAACTCGTGCATCTCCCAAGATCCCTTGGGAAAAATTGGCGGTATGTTCAACATACTCCAAAGGAGATATCAGATGAGTCAGCTCACTGGAGACGGAGTTACAAGAGTTTTGCCTTCTTTGACACTTTTGGAACTTGCTGATCTCACGAAAAATATCGGAAAAGGTATGACGAATTACTTAAAAGCTAAGTTTCAGGAATAAAGTCAACGCCTGACCTATTTAACAATATTTTTTATAATTATAAAAAAATATTGAACAAACTCATCAAATATTTACAGGTCAAAGTATTGATATTTTGCCCATACAGTGCATTTCTTTAATGTCCCCCCCTTTTATTTTTCAATATATTAATGTATGAATACTTTACTTTGAATTGAAATTGACAGTTGAAACTTTCAAGATGGCGACTGGACGCCATCTGGAAAAAAAAACTTAGGAGAAAACGGGGTCTTGTGGCACATCACTTTGAAGCTCCTGACGAATACTTCACAACCCTAGAATATGAAGTGAATATCTTTACCTACTACAATATGGCGGAACATTTAATAATTTCCTGAAGACAAACACATTAATATCGATATTTTTAGAAATATTCCTTTTTATCTACCATATGGCAATTTCAACAACCCGATGAGGTTTGCAAAGTAGTTATGTTTTGTTTATAAAAATGACAAAAAATGTCAGTTCGACAATGAACATCATTGTTCAGTTAGAATATTCTCGTTTAGTTATCGGTTTTACTAGTAGAAAGGTACCACGTCAACAATCTTTAAAATGATCAACTCTCATACATTGGAAGAAAAAATTTAAGCGATTTGTATTTACGGTGCGACGCGTATCTTTCGCGAGACCGAAAGCCACACATTGCGTTGATGGCGGCAATACTAGATCGGTATGACGTTTCCAGTATAGAGCTGGCAAAGTCGTACAAATATTTTGAAAAGGTAATGGAACAAAACATTCTAAATCGCAAACCCAAATATTACCAACTCTTCGAAGCTCTGCCAAGCTACGAAGAGGAAAAATACGATCCAGATTTCGACGACCTCCCCTCGGACGAAGAAGAAATCCAAGGTAAAAATATGCCACAAAAACGAGCGGCCACTCCTGAGCCCCCCGTTGAAAAAACAAAAATCCCGGCTACTGAAAAGGTACAAACTCAGCAGCCGAAGAAGAAGAAGACAAAGAGTGACCGAACAAATCCTGGAAAAACCGATGACGGCGCGGCCGGTACGTCACAGGTACCGGATAAGCCGGAAGTGTCTAATCCGAAGACAAAACAGGTAGCCCAAAAGGATAATCCCCAAAGGTCGAAGAAGCCCCGGCAACAAACCTGGGGGAAACAAAAACAAAAAATGAAAAACCTCCGCCAATAACCATGCGAGCGAAGGATAAATGGAAAAACTTCAATACGATCACCGCCGCGCAGAATATCAACATATCTCGGGCGGTGAACACAAATGACGGGATTAAGGTTCACCTTAAATCCATAGAGGATTACAGGAAGGTAACAAAATCCCTTGACAAAGAAAAGATACCGTACCATACTTACTCGGTACAAGCCGAAAAGCCACTGAGAGTCGTTTTCCGGAGAGTTTCAGAATCCTTGGAAACTGAAGATATTAAGACTGGATTACAAGAGAAAGGATTTGAAGTCATTTCCATCGCTTGTATGAGCAAAGCAAACAAGAAGCCTATCCCCTTCGTATTAGTTTTGGTCCCTAGAAGCCAGGCTAACATATACGAAATTAAAGACATTCAAAATGTCCGCGTTACCACAGAAACACAAAGGCCACGTAATAGAGCAGGACAATGCTACAGGTGCCAGAAGTTCGGACACACACAGCGGAACTGTAAAGCAGTCCCGGCCTGTGTAAAGTGCGCCGGACGGCACTTGACAAATGAGTGCAAAAGACCTAAAAACTTCCCGGTGCGGTGCTTCAACTGCAAGGGAAAACATCAAGCTAGTTTTCACGGGTGCCCAGAACGCCCCGAAAATAAGAAAAAGGCCTCAGATGGTCCTACAGACGAAAGACAGCCCCCAAACCCGAGGACAGTCGATCAAAATAGAGTAAGAAGCGGAATCTCATACGCGAGAGCCGTATCAACTAGAGAAAATTCCTGCAACTCTCCCGAGGGTCTCCCAACGACCCTAGGGCTGCTGCAGGAAATTCTCACGAAGTGTCCGGTCCTGCAAGCCATGCTTGCCGGAAATAAATAAAAAAGAACATGTCTTAACGACAAAAAAGGATAAAAGAAGACGCTGAGACTTCTGACAATTTACTACAAGCTACAAGAAGGTGATAGAGACTTGTCCCTATCACCCTAACATAAGAAAAAAAAACATTGAACTAGACTAAAGAACAATTAGTTGAAAGGGTAGGGGGCCTTGGGTTCGGACACCTGACTTAAAAAAAGACGGTTCAGGAGACCGAAAGGATTTTCAATGAAAGTTTTCCGAATGGTTCTATCTGTGGAAAATATTTGAGGAACTTGTATTCAAATTCACAACTACCGGTAGTATACATAACAAAAAGCTCCCAAGTCATCCATCGATTCCAGAAGAACAGCAAGTGCAAATAATTGGTGAGATGGTAGTAAATACTGAACAGTCTACTTATTCCGTCGCGAATGTTTGTGAGGTGTCTCCTTCTACTGTGTGGAGGCGAAATTAAAATAGTACACCAATTAACTGAAGATGACCTTGATCGAAAAACAGAATTCTGCGAAACAAAGACGGAAACCATTGCAAGGCATCCTACCTATCTCCACAATATTTTTTTCAGTGACGAATGTATATTTTTCAAACTGCAATGTTCACAGACAAAATTGCCGTTATTGGAGTGACACCCACCTTCACGTTTTCCGGAAAACACATACCCAATATCCAGAAAAAATTAACGTTTGGGCAGGAATATTGGAAAACCATATTGTAGGACCTCTATTTATTGATCAAAATGTAACAGGAGAACTATACTAGAATATGATGGAAATTACTGTTGACCCTCTCATCACTAAAATCGTCGAAGAGAATCCTAATGAATTCGATATGAATATTGTATTCCAAAACGATGGAGCACCACCACATCACTCCAGACAAGTAAGAAACTATTTGGATACTACTTTTCCCGGTTGTTGGATTGGCAGTCGAGGTCCTACAGAATGGCCAGCCCGCTCGCCAGACTTGACACCTTTGAACTTTTTGTAAGAGGCTATTCGAAGCAAAAGGTTTACGAAACTGAACCTGCTTCAATATTGGATAAACGGCAGGGAATAATAAATATTTGTAGAGATATTGACGTTACTGTGTTCGAAAATGTTCGGCGTGAAATTTGGGATAGGCTGTTCATATGCCAAGAAGATCTAGGCAACCATTTCGAGCATCTTCTGAATTGACCTCAAGCTTATTACCTCATATTATGTAGTTAAATGTCAATGTATTCAGGCAATTATTAAAAGTTCCGCCATTTTGTAGTAGTTGAAGATATTAACATTATATTCTACGGTTGTAGAGTATTTGTCAGGAGCTTCAAAAAGATGTGTCACAAGATCCCCCTTCTCATTAATTTTTTCCCAGATGGCGCCCAGTCGCCATCTTGAAAGTTTCATCTGTCAATAAAGTATTCATGCATTATTTCATTATCCCAAATTTCAATTTTTTTGTGTTGACCCGTTCGCACTGTATAATATTTGGTTAAATTCGGTAAAAAACCATTGAAAGATGATCATCCTTCTCGAAGTATTTGAGCAGTACCAATAATAAAAAGTACTTTATTCAAGAAAAGAAGATATACACCGCCAGATCGTCCACTTACAAAAACTCCCCGAGTATGATGCCGAATCGAAATATTGATTTCTGTACTCCCAGAATGATCAGACTCGAAAAAACGCTGAAGCCCGTTATGAGTTCACCTAATGAGCAGATTGCGAAGAACAAACTTCAACAAGTAAGTCAGTCAATTTCTTATTGGACAACAATTCTTTGATAAAAAGTAGAAGTGGAACCTCTGGTGTAGAAATCCACAACAGGCACTTTTCCAATCATTAGAAATGTAATATTTGAGTTTCACTAACCATGTTGGTGTCTTGGGAAAAGTGCTCACTTTGGAACAAGTTTATGGATCCACTTTATTACAATTTCATGAAACCGATGACCGTTTACAGCAAATGAAATCGAAGAAGGATCCATCTTCCCAGAAAACCAGGCCAAATACTGTACAGACCACCAGCAACCAACAAAAAAATCGGCCTGCTTTAGATTACAGAGTCATCAAGTCCCCCAGCTTGAGAAGGAAAGCTTATTCTGCTACTATAACTCCTAAATCGAATCGCACTTTCTCCCCTGGAGGGGAAGGGGTGTTGAGAAATCGCCCGTCCCCTGCAGGAGAGAGGAAAGTCAGAGAGGAAGTTCCGAAGCCCAAAGAAGCAATCAAAGTTTCTCCAGAAGCGGTACCGAAGCCAAAGAAGGATGTGTTAGAATTGCTGCATTTGAATGGTGTGAAAAAAGTTGGGGTGCCTCAAGGAAGTAAGTCGATGCTGGCCCAAAACATGAGGTGAGAATAAAAATGATTATCTTCGTTTTTATTTGCTGAATTATGATCTTGGATCATACATTCAATAGTCGAGGAATATTTCATTTATATTTTTCGGCAATATAAGCATCTTCAATCATTTTGTTAAATTTGTTAAAATACAAAATAGTAAATTGAATGAAGTATGTTTTTGGGGGAGAAAAATGTTTGAAAAATGAACGTTTCGGCTTTCTACCTCTCCATCTTCGTATAAAAGAGTGGAAATCTTTAAAAAAAAGAGCAAATTATTTTCAACAGAAAGAAGAAAGAAAGAAAACAATTAATTTCTAAATGAACTATTCCCAAATATATGTAGATTATGCGAAGATATAACTTTCAAACACGAACTGAAAGAAAAATTCCCCTCGAAACAGTTATTTTCTAATGAACATGAAATTACATTCTCACAGATTTTCACATTTTTGATTACATGAAGATGGAGAAGTAGAAAGCCGAAACCTTTCGAAAAAATAATAGTCATGTTAATTAATAAGTTCTTGAAAGAAACAAACACACACTTCTACATCAGTTTGCATTGATAAAAGTGAAGAATACCCTGATTTTTTTGAAAATTTCGTAATTTCGAAGTGAATTCTTACATTAAACGGCAATTCAGTCAACAAAACAAACTCCAATTTATTATTGGATATTCATTTATTTATCATTCATTGATAGAATTTTCAAACATTTCAGTGGGAGAAAAATTGAAAAGAATTCACATGAAGATAATACAGAAATTTCCTTGAAATAATGAAATTATGGTTGAGAATGATACTTTGAGAACAAATTCAATAATTGTCATTCAGTTTAAAGTTTGAATATTTTTTATTTTGATATTTTGTTCAGTTTCATCTATATATGTTAATTAGCAAAAAAGACAGAAATGCGAAAAGGATATTTTCTAGGAAGTTTTTAAGGAAGGTGAAATCTTTTTATTTTAGACAATTTCAGTGAAATATAAAAATGTTTTGCAGTTTCATTCAACAAGTTTTAATAACTCGTTGAATGAATATGTTGATCACTGTTTTTTGGAAAATTGAATTTGAGAGATAGAGTTCATTTTTGCAGATGCTTTGAGCTGCAAAGTTTGAGTATGCACAACAAACACATTATATATCTTAAAGGTTTTTGGGTTTTCATAAATAAGTAGTTGGTTCCTTATAATCTTTAAAAAATATTCAATAGAGAATCTGAAACGTTTTTTCTCGAATCATCTGATTGTCAAAGTTTTGCAAAATTATCTCATAACAGTTATCATGTTTATTATTAAAAATATATACCCGAGTGTGGACTACTGTGATATCAAATCCTTATGTAAAGTCCATCTTTTCTGCAAAACAAAATAGGTTATTTCATGGCCAATCAACTGATTTTTTTCGATATTTCTGTAGGCAGGATCATCCTAAAGTCCGTCAGACAGCTCCGGAGAATATCCGATGTAGATCTGAACAATCGCAAAGCAGAAGACGTCCAGTTACGGGGGCGCTTCAACAAATACTGGAGAGGTCGTTGAAAAACGCAGGGTGAGTCAATAAGTTGAAATTTAGGAAGGATTCATTCGACGGAACTGTAGGAATATTAGACTGCTTAAATTATTCCTAAAACGATAACCGTAAGTAAACTTCTAGAGTGACGCTGAGCGAGGGCAATCCAAAACCTGTGGATAAAATAGGAAATGTGAGAAACATTCATTACCACCAACCCCAGTTACCTAGCAAACATTGGGAAAGGTCACCTTTAGCATTCGGAGATAGCAGTTCCCGAGCTGTAACAGGTAACATTTTGTTCTCGGTCATTTCCTAAACAACTCTGGTTTCAACTACAATTTTTTAGCACCCCACACCCAAGTCAGAAAAAGCACCATCTATGATCCTATTGCCAAGTCGATAGCGGACTACGTCACTAATAACGTTCCTGAAAAATTACATCAGGTAAAAGTTCAATTCGATTTTGATTTTGGGGCAGAATTTCAACGAGACTTTGTCTCGATGAAAATGTTAATTCATACCTAATTGAACTTGGGTATACTTCAAGAACTTTTCCCCAATACTTGGGTTACGCATATATTTAAAAAGTAATTGTTTAATATATCCAATCTGAGATGAATAAAACTCTGGTGTATTTTGTTTTACAAAAGGTTATCTGGGAAATGAATGAGATAATAACAACTTTTTGAATACGTCAATAGATGGTGCAAGAATCGAATTTTGTGAACATTACAAAGCCATATTGAATGCCAGTATATTTTGCAATCTCACATTTACTTCCATGCCAAAACTTTGTTGAGCGTTAATTGATGTTCGATTATTATAACGCCATCTATGATAGGAGTCCGACTTACAGCTTGTCAAGTCTAGGAAGAGACTTAAAAATTATCTCTTTCTCTCTCTCTCTCTCTCTCTCTCTCGTTCTCAATTCTTCTAAGGAGCGCAAGTCTAGTGGGCGGGACCATAACGGAATTCAGAAAGCTCTTCCTACATTTGACAAGCTGTATTTCATTTAATTTCCTTGAAGGCAAATTTACATTTGTATATAGAAATAGTCACATAACAAATACAAGACTCAATAAAATATTTTACATTGAATCAAAACAAAATACTTATTATACAACAGTTAAAATTTTGTAGCAGGGGCCAAACCATCCAGACCCACAGCTTCATGAAACAAGAAACTTGTTGAGAGAGTAGGAGCAGGGCCGTAGCGAAAAGAAAAACCAGAAGGGGGGGGGGAATCCAAATTTTCCCAACCCCACCAGCAAAATGTTCCAACTTTCGAAAAAATGAAAGCCGAGGGATTAGTTACTATTATAATATATTCATTTTCTTACTTAACTATCCAAAGATTGGCTGAATGCCTATGCCCGTTAGGGTATGCACAAACAAAAATAAATTTTGGTGATTTCAAAAATAATAATGGGAATTATTCTACTTTGGACCAACGTCCTTGGTCTCTTACCATATCCACCATGTATAGCAATATTCAAGACAAATGAAAGGAAACAACACTTAAATAATATTGTGCTTATTGTTTTCTACTATTATTTTTTCTATCTTCACGGCCCGAAATTTTCCAACTTTTCCAAGTCGAATAAACAGCGAAAAGATGGCCATTTTGTAGAATTGTCAGTTCAAAATTTGTGGACTGTTCAGGACTGTTCTCTTACTTGGGAGAAATTTAACTTTTTTGAAGTTTTCAAACAACTCAGAATTTCAAAGTATGGGATCCCCAAGTTATGCATGTTGGGAAATCCCAACCTTGTCCTGGTTCTTTCCCTTTCCTTATTACCTCTCCCTTTCGTTTCTCTCATTTCAATTTTTTTTAAATTTTTATTCATTTTTTTTATTATTTTTTCTATCTTCACGGCCCAAAATTTCCCAACTTTTTTCGAAAAGCAGGGGGAGAGGCTCCCTCCATCCCCCCCTTGGCGACGGCCCTGAGTGGGAGAGAATGGTTTTCGTTTTTTTTTTTAATAATGTCCGGAATATTAAAGTCATTTATCTGGTTGGCATTCATACCATGATGTTCTAGGTTGGTGTTTACTTCATTTATGTTTTCGAAAACATAGAGAAACTTCAAAAATGAAGAGTACAGGGAAAGTCTGAATACAATATCTTTGAACAGTTCTACAGAACATCATGTGTGGGCTTCCTAGCAGTAAGGTATACAATTTGTTTTTGATCGAAGAAAACGTCTGGGAACAGTTCCGATCGGAGTTCCCCCAGAAGTAAATGCTGTATCTCAAAATATAACATCATTAACTAATTCTGATGTAGGGTGGATCTAATATCATAAGAGAGATGCGCTAAATATGGCAGTTTTGCATTCAATAAAGAGACATTGCTTCAAGATTTTATAGATCTACTTGCAAACCTCTTCATTAAGAAGGCTGTGGGTCGAGTATATTTGACAAAATAATTTCGATGTGGAAGTATTTCAAATATCACACCAGGGTTTTATTCATCTTGTCAAATTCCATGTGGTGATACTTACTAGTGTTCGTTTTCATTTCAGTTTCCTTGGTTTAAAAAATGAGCAAGAAAACGTCTACTGGAATATAAATAGGATCGCACGTAAATAAGAATCATTGTAAAATAAATAATGAAATGTCATAGTGAATGAGCTATTTTATTTCTGTCATGTCAATAAAAGGAATCGGTTACTTTTGTCTGGAGAAATTTGAAACAATATTTTCATCAAAATCTATCAGTTTGATTCAAATTCAGCATTGGTGAAAAATCATTCAGAAAACAGACAACAATTTGTAAAAATTGAGGGTGGTGAAAGTTCTACACAATATTACGTGTGGTGTGCCCCAAGGATTTATAATACGCCCAAAACTTTTTTAATTTATATACTTTACATATCACGTTTGAAACTGAATGGAGAGATGAAGCTTTATGCTGATAATACAACCTTATTAAATTTCAGTAAAAATGTTGTTGTCATACATAAACATTTTGAAAATGATCTAAGTTTAATATTGATGTAGCTTCAGTCATAAATTAACCTTGAAGCTTGATAAACTATCTTATATGTATATTTTCAAAAAGAAAATCAAGAATAACATTCCATTGTCTTTTGATAACAAGATTATTAACTTCAAAAAAACTGCCTCTGACTATTTGGTCTATATATTAGTGAAATTTAAAATTGGAAGCTACACATACAAAAAAATTAAAACCAAAATTAGGATGAATGTCCCTCTAATTTGTTTTAAAAAAAATTGTTTTCACATATTCACTCTGGATTTGATTACCCACATGATTCCCATTTGGGGTTCTGTCACCCAAAAAAGTTTGAAACCTTTGAGATTGCAAAACAAGGTAATGAACTATATTTATAAATTATCCCATCTGGAACCGACTATAAATTTATATAAAAGAAGATTTGTTTTTCATATTCAAACTCTTCAAATTCTAAAGCTTTTTTACTTAAATTTTTCAGCAGATTCTGATGAACAAGATTTATTTCTTCAAAATGGTAGGATTAGTATCTATGAAATCTTTGTAAGGTAAAACTGAATGTAAGTTAGTGACAAATATTTTTCGATAAAAATTTTGTGAGGCATACAAAATCAAGTGAATGTTCAAATTTCATGGACCACATACATTCGATTGCTAACTTTTTTATTTTTATATGTTACACTCGTTTTGAACATATGTTCACAGTTTGAGCTGTTTAGCATGTTTAATTTGTTGGTGAGAGGCATAAAGGTTAGAAAAGTTAGGCGATTTTCTAATATCGTAAAAAATGCATCTAATTTTGTGTAAAAAATGGAATCAAGTGCTCAAAAACACTTTGAATGTTGACAGTAGTATACGGGGATTGTACTATGAGTCAGAAAAATGTTTACGAGTGGTACAAGTTTTTCGCAGATGGTCGAGAAGATATGAATGACGCTCGACCTAGACAACCAATGAAAATGTTGAGAAAGTGAAGGAAATTGTAATGGAGAATCGACGAATCACTAGAGAAAAAATCCGTAGCATGAGCATCGCTCAGGAATTGTTGAATGACGTCAACGATCCAGATTTACTGATAAGTATATGGTTATGACATTGAAACCAAAGTCCAATCATCTCGATGGACTGGCACTAAACACTGCTAAGACCTATTATATTCAATTCTTACCAAAAAATATAAATCCTAATAATGATCTCTACTCAACAGTCAATGGAAAATTGATAGAAAGCAAATAGGTACTGTGCTTGATAGGAAACTCTTATGGGAAAACCATATCATCACTTTATGTTCAAAACTCAGCATAATCACATAGGTACATTATTAGGAATCTGAGAGATACAGTATCAGCTGATGTACTGAGAATTCTTTATTACGGACTGGCACAGTCAGCTATGTAATGTGGGATATTATTTTGGGGATCCTCAACTTACATACTAGGGGCTTTTCGTTCCCAAATAAAATCTTCAGAGCTATGAACAAAACTCACCCTTCAGAGTCTTGTACCCACTCTTCTGAAATACTAACGCTGCATTGCCTCTACTTCTTGAACCTGATAGTGTTTATAAAGGACAACGAAAATAAATTTCTGAAGAATGACCAATAAATGCACATGATACAAGGAATAAGGAAAATATCCATCTGCCCTTTTCCAGGCTTCTCATTGGTCAAAATTCCCCAAAATATGTTTCAATAAGATGAAAAATTCAATAGATATGAGCGCTAGCAAGTCAGCAGTTAGGACTAGAATATCAACATATCTCAGTAATAAAGCTTTCTATAGCGTAGAATATATTTTAAAATTATAGTTGTACAAACCTCAAGTGAATTCGTTGTCTAATTGTTATAATTATACATTCATTCTCATTATATTCTTTTTTATATATTTTTAACACTAAGTAGTGTCCCATTGTTGCAATTGTACCATATTCCAAATTTATATATCAATAAATTGATGGATGTAGCCATTACTACGTGGTAGGAAATCATAATGAATAAAAGAAAAATGAAACACAACACAAAAAAAGAACATAGAAAGTTTCATTTATCTTTTCTACTTTATATTTCATTAGTCCATCCCTATTTTATGTCTATATTTTATCAATTTTAATCAATCTATTTTATGAACAAATAACTTTTTGACTAGTCTGATAAGTTACATATACACAAGGTGTATTATTTTCTGATGAATGAATAACTCTGATTCTAATGAGCTCAGGAGAGGTGAGACCACAAAAAGCACGCCAAATTCGATCAAATGTCAAGGTTTTGGTCACTATTTTCTTCGATTTCTGTTGCGTAGTGCATCAGGAGTTCTTGCCACATGGTCGTACAGTTGATAAGGAGTATTATCTTTAAGCAATGCGCCGCTTGCAAGAAACAATAAGAAGAAAGCGTCCGGTATTGTGAAAAAACAATCCATGGCTTTTGCATCGCGATAGTGCATCATTGCTTGTCCGTAATTTTTTTACCACAAGCAACACCGTAATCATGCCTCAGCCACCGCATTCACCAGATTTGATACTCTGCGACATTTTCAAGATTGAAAGGACGGCGTTTTGCGACGATTGAGAAGATGAAAACTTGAGGCGTGCGTTTCCATAACTACTTAGATCCATGTTTCACTAAAATTGAGAAAATGGCGACAATACCTTCTTTGATAGCTTTGACACATGCCTATATAATTCTAGTGGACCAAATCTGATCACTTTCAGTAATACTATGATATTAAAAAAATAGTACGTGCTGTTTCAAAGGTGCGTAGATCCAATAGTACTATGTTATTCATTGCATGCTACCGTTTCAAAACTTGTTAGATCGTGTTCGTATGTGCACGGCTTCTTTACTGTTTACGTTCACATACGATTTTTGTCAGTAGTTGTTTGAACGTGAAGCAGTCTTGTGATTTAGTGTGTTTGCTGTTCAAAAATAAATCTAAGATTCCAGAGCTCCTTGAGAATAAAGTGCAGGTCAAAAAAGAAAAGCTTTCCGATGTCCTGTAATTGAATAGAACTGGCCGATACTTGATGAAAATCCATATTAAAAACCTAATCAATACAGTTTATTGTATGATTTTCACTATAAGGGTTTTACGAAAACCGCGACACGTGTTTCGCTATACGATAGCTTCTTCAAGCATAAACTGTATCGCTTAGTTTTTTTTATTATGGTCCTGATTGGAGAAATGCCACAGAAGACGATTTCTCATTTTATGAACGTGTTCTTACTACTATTCCAGATGATGATAATAATTCTGACACAAATGTTGTTCCAGATGAGTTAAATATTACAGAAGATGAAGATTTGCAAATTTAAAACATTTAACATTTTGAACCTGTTTTTGCTTAAATGAAAAACTGTATTTTGTTTTGAAAGTTGAGTTGAATAAACACTATTTTTGCATCATATAAGTCTTTTTCTACTTCTTAACCATTCAGATAAATTTTATAAATTTTCAAAGCTGTATGAATCCACAATATGTTTCCAAAACTCGTTTGATCCCACTTTTGTTTTCAAATAACTCGGCAAAACATTCTCTAATATTTGTTTGCTGACCGTATATTAGTTTTAAAGGACAACCTACGAATAACAAATCAGTCACACAAACCTCAAACCTACTTGATTTCCAAATTAAAGGTATCAGAAAAGTTGGATTTGCTCGAAATCACTTCTGATGGATTCAACAAGTTTTGGAAATGGGCGCCTCACCTAATCGCTGAATAGTTGAAGTACATAACAAAAAGTACATATTAGAACTGTGCCGAAGACTGGAAAAATCTGGAAAAAGTATATCTGAAGGGGACTACTTTTGAAGGAAACAAAATAGAAAATGACGAATAAATAAATATTTTGTAAGAAAAATGAAAATTCACCTCATGTTTTTTTGCAGAACTCGTATATTGACTAAGAGATCCATTATCAAAATGAAACCACGTACAGTACATAATTACTTTTATTGTCACAAGTTAGTTACCCCACTCTGCCAGCTGTTTTTGAATCACCTTTTAACTTGTCACGATAATAACAAAATAAGTCACGTAAACACTTTGATGATACTCTTCAGCAAGATTTTCAAGTTATTAAGTTATTCCCGTTAGTGCCATATCACGTCTCTTGTTTGGGACGAAATGGAGCCTAACTTGATGTATCTGGCCGTTTGGGAAGCAGGGTTGCCATTCATTCCGTTGTTTGAGGTGCTGGAGACTTTTTGGTCGACTGTGGCATGCGTGCTGTCGCCCCTGAGAACGGCTACAGGTTTCCAGGAGTTTATGTAATTCACTGTAATCGAAAATTGGAATGAATCAGGGCAGGTATTTTTCAGAAGACTCTTAAGATAAAGGGCTGTCGAAGGCAGAAATGGCTTTTCATGAATGTTTCAGCATGACGATCTACGAAAAAGGTAATAAAAATGGTTTACCCATAGTAAAAAATCCCAGAAAAGATCGAAAATAGTTACTGAAGGTAATCAATAACTGATGAACTTTATTAAAACTGAATTGAAAGGAATATTCAGGTCTAATCATATACAGTGTGACCCATTTGAAATGGAACCACCCCTGTAGAATGTGCATTTTTCAATCAATCTCAATTTTTTTTTATTGAAATATTAAGCATGAAAAACTGTATCTTGACACTAACTTTCACAGTTTTAGTTTCATTTCCAAGGCACTCTATGGTTTTTTTTTGTTTGTCAAAAACGGCAAAAGTTTATTAGGCAATTTTTGTTTTCAAATTTGACTACACCACTGGATTCGTAGTCGTTATAAATCAAAACTGTCAAATTTTCATTAAAAAATATTTGTTAACAACGAAGTTACAACAACTTCAATTTTGGAAACAAAGTATTTGTTTGTAATTTTTATTCAGATTATAGACATATTTGAGATCTGACAACACTGTCATCAC